TGCATTGCACCTTTTTCTTCCCAAACCTCCCTCTCTCTCACACACACACACACACACACACACACACACACACACACACACCGTCCTACTGCTGCAAATGTGGATTAATCCACGGCGGGAAATAGTCCCAGACAAACGCACGATTTCCTATAGTTTTGTTATTTTTTAACAACAACAACAAGGAGCTCAGCGCGGCGTTGGTCCACACACTCACTATTAATACTAATGACAGTTAGAAATCTACGGTGAAGAAAAACACATGAATAAATAAATGGTCCCAGTTTGGAACCAGATCCAAAATGGAACCGGTTCTCCAGTTCCTCGAAGTGTCCTCGAGCAAGACGCCGAACCCAGCGCCGCTCCTGCTGGACAGGAAGTGTGTGCGAGTGTGTGCGAGTGTTTGAATGAGAAGCTGACGTTGCTGGTTCCTGCAGCAGTTTACAGGCAGGTAAAGGTTAAACAAATAAAACAGAGGAGGAAAAGAAGTAAATGTTGATGAAAAAAGACAAGGACGACTTTAATGAGCTTTTCTTCTTCTCTCAAAGAGTCTGTGAAAGACAAACGGAACATTTATTCCCTGTCGACTTCTTCACCCTTTCCACAACGCCGGCTCCCTCTCTTTAATCTACCCGCTCTGATAGATTGTGGCTCTGCATCTGCTGCCATTAGTCAGCAAATTAAATTTTGCTAACGGCCCTGAGTGGATCCAAAAAGCTGATGAGGAAGCCGTTTGTTCTCGTCAGAAACAGAAACCGATCGTACGTTAACTCGCCGTGTTCATCGCCTCCAACCAATCAGCTGTAAACTGTTGTTATTGATGAACGAGCTTCAGCGACGGACTGTAAAGTTTTGAGAATGGGAGCTGGGAGCAGGTTTAACACCGTCCACACAGGAGCTTTAACTTCACGACATGTAATAAAACAGTTTCAACACCGTTTCAGAGGAAGATGAAGATCATTGAAATATCACATGAACAAAACAACCTTTAAAAATCGCTTGAAAAGTTGAATTTAAAGATCTGAAAGTTTCTCTTTAGTGACAACATGTTGTAGAGCTCGACATTAAATATAATACTAATAATCTCTGTGAAGCCCGTGTGTCACCTGTGTGCAGCTCACCTCACAGGCAGATGTTTGGATGTTGCTGTCCACACCGGATGTACAGACGCCTGTGAATGTGTTAAAGGTCATTTTAGGTCATTCAACAAACACATTGATGCTCCAGAAAAATAAAACCAGATACAACGTGGATTAAAAACAACAAAAGAACAAAAGATCATCTCTATCGGCAGCGTTTGGATCCGAGCAGCCGACTGATTAATGAGCAGCAGAACGAATCTTATTTCATCACAGACTCATTGTTCAGGGCCGATTCATTCTTCTGAATTTCTTTGTTCTGAAAATGAGAGAAAAACAAAACTGAGGCTTTTGTTTGATTCATTTTGTTGATCATTAATTGTTCATTAAACCGTGTTTTCATCGCCCTGATGGTAGCTCACAGCGGGGACGTGGCTTCACTGAAGTAGTCCACCAATCACACGGCCGCCCATAAAAACAACTCATGAAAGTCACTGTGACTTGACTGATCCTTTGATTGAAAGGGACGAAGAAGCAGTGATGTGATCCACAGCAGTCTTACTGTTAGTTTCACTTTCTTTGTGCATGTTGACTGATAGAGTTTTCAACATGGATGAGCATCTACTTGTTCTGTTGTGTAACTAACAAACATGTCTGACCGAGACCTGATTATTTACTTTCAACTTCTTTTCCACAATTTAGAGGCAAATATTTTAATTTTTAATCCACTACATTTGACTGAAATCCATCGTTTCTTTAAGATTCATTAGAAGAAGAAGATCATCAGTTTGGAAAATATGAAGCACTATGATTTAAACATGGTGCTGCAGTGATGTTTTGTTCTTGATAATAAAGTTATCCTCTGCAGAGACACTAAACTTTATTTTCACTTCATTAACATCAGATCAGATAAAGTTTATTAATAAAACAGCCAGAGTTGACCAAAGTGCAAAAGTACAATAATAACCAGCGAACAGGAGCGCTTCAGTCTCACTCCCATTTAATTGAAGGCAGTTATATGTTATCATTATCATATAGCACAACATTATCTCCAGGTGTTAGTGGGAGGTTTAGCTGAGTGTCGTCAGCGTAGAAATGAGAGGAGATGTTAAAGGCGGCAAATAAGGAAAATAAATAAACATATATGAACCAGGAAGAAGAGTTCAGGCACTTCTTTCAAGTGCTCTTTATCTGACTTTATAAGTGTTTGCTGCAGTGTGAGTGTGTGTGTTGGTGTGTGTGGGTGTGTGTTTCGTCTCCAAACAAACCATAATGTGCATTATGGCTGTAAATTGATCTAAAACCCACTGAAGCTGCCGGAAACTGCAGCCTCTCAAACGCACTTTCTCCTCCTCAGTACTTCTGAAGTTAATCGAATGAGGGAGGGGTGGACGGAGAGAGAGAGAGAGAGAGAGAGAGAGAGA